AATAAATAAAAAGTTATGTTCCGGCCGAGTTTCGAACTCCGGTCTCTCGCTTTCTAACCCGACTCCTTACGCACTGCTCCACAGTAACTTGCTTAGCGATAATTCAATGACGGTATATAAACAAAAAAACAGGTTTATAAGAATATCTTGACGATTTGAACTTGCGCGCGGAGCGTGCTGACCAATAGCGCCTGTTATCACCTGTGACGTAGCGACCAACCTGCGCAATATCATACCTTGTATTCTTTGTACCATGTGACGAGTCAACCTCAAATCCGCTTGAGATTGACTCGTCTCGGGTGTCTTTCGCACTCGTCTCGACATATTTATACGCAGCTTTAGTAATCTCACAAAGCACCAGCTTATTGTTTGTCAGTATATTGTATGGAATAATCTTTCACACACAGAGATGTTTTACAAAGATGGAAATATTAAGAGCAGGAATATGGAATAAAAATATTAGGTTTCTCTTCAGATCGCGATACGCGACTTTTGAAGCTTTGTTTTCGACGAGTCAGTTGACGAAAATCATGTTGAAACGACTTCTCTGTAATAAATTTCGAGCTGATGTGGGTGGATCAAATTTTAAAGATTAATCGGGATGTTTTTTTAATGCAACACTCTGTATTTTATTGTATTTTTGGTTTCCTTTTCGATCATTTTACTAGACTGCATATAAAGTGATTAAAAAGGAAGCCAAAAATGCAATCATATACAGGGTGTTCCATTTAAAAAATCATCCTAACCTGCTCACTTTTTTAAGCCACCGTAGAAGTAGAAGTAAAATATGTTCCTGTAATACATCCTAATACATAGTTTAGGTTTGATTTTCTTTAATAAAATTCCTAACTTTTTCATTATAGGAGCTACAAATGCTCGACACACTTTTTCCGAACCCTGTATAGGCAGGATAACAGATAATCTAGTGAATACAAAGTACTTTTTACAACAATATGCAAAGCACGATTTGGGGGCATTTAAATAGCCAAAAATCTAATGCTGGAAGTCCACTCTCGACGATGCGCCTTTATATGTCGACGAAAAATAATTTCTTTATGGTCCTCTAAATTTGCTTAGCAACGACTCTTGAAAACGATTTATTTCAAATTAGTAGACACAACAAAGTCAAAATACAAAATATTTATAAAACGTTAAAAAAATTGATGTGATTATATATTTTTTTATTTGTGTTTATTTTTGTATTTATGTAAGTAATATTTTCTAATTAAAGAATATTATATATTATTTAATAATATATTATTTTTATAAATAATTAAATTTTCGCTATCATTTAGGTTTTTTTTATAAGGCTGGCTGTTTAGCCGATTCTAAAGTGGATTAATAGAGATATATTTTGAATTACATACTTTGGTTTAACGGGAAAATATTAAGGAAGTACAGGGAAGTATTAAGGATGTACGGGGATATATTGAGGATGTATGAGGAAATACGAGGATGTATGAGGAAGTATTGAGGATGTAAAGGAAGTATTAAAAGGGTAGAAGGAAGTAAAAAGGATGTAAAGGAAGTATCAGGGATGTATGGGAAATTTTTGCATAAAAGGGATGTTGGTGTACAAAATTTAGGTCCGCGGTTTCCGCCTCGGATTCGTGACCGAGCGAAGGTTCAGAGAGTGCAGAATGCATGCTGTAGATTTGTATTTGGTCTCCGTAAGTATGATCAGTGAATTAGGATGGCGCAAAATTAATAATAGGTGACAATTGCATCTGTCGAATTTTGTTTTGGTTTGGTTGGTTGATAAAATCACTTTTCTCATCACAAACAATTTTCTCATCCACTTCAAACATTTTATAAGTCGTTCCAAATTTCATTCTTTAAATGTTAGATATACAGGGTGCGTCACAAAAGTGGCTAACTAATATAACTTTTTTGTTTTCAGATAAAAAAAAAACGAGAGTTGGTATGTTCGTATATGACATAAATTAGGATTGATTGATATATTCAATCCTTTTCGGCTACTTCCTGTTTCAAAATTCTTTATTCATTTTAAATTATCATTAAGGTTTACAATCGTCAATATTATCAAGCCTTGCAGGTTACAAAGTAAAATTAAATAAATATGTAATACATATATAATAAAAATAGAACATTACAGTTAAAATACGCATTAACATTCACAAAGCATAAACACATTAAAAGATATCTTAGCCAGAGAAATTGAAAGAAATATACTCGTCTTGCTTTCAATTAAAAATGTCCTTAATTTAATTTTGAAATCCTTGTTTGACAAATTGTTAAAACATGCAGGCAGTTTATTATAAAATTTGACAGACCAATACCCCGGACCCCGGACCGTCCTGACACCTTCTTAGACGACAGTAGTCTGTTACAATATTATTCTTGTTTCGTGTATTATAGTCATGAACTTCGCTGTGAGTTGTGCATGAGTCTATGTTATTCCTTAGATTTAGTAGGTTGCGATAAATATAAAGAGATGGCAAAAAAAAACCGTCAACGTGCCCGCCCCAATAAAGCCTCAGATCCAAATAAACCCCGAGGAATTTTACCTGTTCCCTGGCAAAGTGAGTGTTTCTCATAGAGAATATTATTTGCCTGTTTTTTTTTCGGTATTTAACACTAATTTGTGCACGTGAAACCAATCACTAGCTATTGACCGCGCTCTCCCGGAACCCTCCAAAGATTCCTCGAGTATTTCACCTTTACAGGCTATCGTAGTGTCGTCTGCGACCAAAGTAAAACCAGCTGAAGTCTCACGCTGGTAAATAATTTATATAAATTAGGAAGAGAACCGGACTAAGTATGGAGCCCTGAGGAAAATGACTACAACTTTTGATTTTTAAATGGCAACCACGGTATTTTTTACTTTGTTTGATAGAAAATGACACTCTGAATAGAATGAGAATGAATACGTGAACTTTTGACATTTTCGCTTAAAACAGAATTGTATTTTAAATTTCAATCTAGGAGCCTTGGAAAAATAGATCGTCTAATGTTTTTAGTGTCTTGTCCTGGCCGGTCAAATCGTATTTTTAATCATATCTCAATTTTTTTCAAATGGAACGAGGGTGGCTCATTAGCGTATTGTTTTTGGAAAAATAATTTTTTATGAATAATTTGGTACCACACACTTTCTTATTCACTTGATATTTCGAGTGAAATTGTTGTTAAGAATCGCAAGTTGCGATTTCAAATAAACCATATTCAAAAATGTCAAAAGTTGACATATATGATATGTCACTCTATTGAGAGTGTCATTTTCTATCAAATAAATTAACAAAATATCGAGGGTGCCATTTAAAAATTGAAAAGTTTTTGGTGAAACAGGAAGTGATCGAGAACAATAAAACTGAGTAGGTACGTCAATCAATCCTAACTTATGTCATATACTAACACACCAAATTACGAATTTTTATCTGAAAAAATAAAAAAGTTATAGGGGGTGAGCCACCTTTCAGACGAATCCGGTATAAAACTTGTCTCGTCATAAAACCGCGGTTTTTACATGTTCATTTAGTTACACAGCAATAAAAATAATAAATAAACTTCCGAATGAATTTACAATTTCAAATATTAATAAATGAATTTTGTATTATTGTTATCTTGAGAAAAATGCATTTTCATAATGCATTTGCATTGTTCTGAAATGGTTTAATCCTGTTTATACTTTTCCCAATTTTGTTTATATGGTAATATAATTGAGATTTCATTCTTTGAAGATGGTTATTATTAATTTTGATTAATGTCATATTTTTTGCTGTTGTTAAAGTATCACATTTTCCGGTAACTATTAGCTTTGTTCCAACGACGGAAAGAACCGTACTCGGTACGGATACGCTTCTGCGCAGTGGAGAAAAAGCGTTCCAACCACGAGAGAATCGTTGAGTGAACGATAACTTTTGCGTTCCAACAAGAGTTGTCACCGTTAGTGAATCGATTCCGGGACCGTAATTTCGATACCAGCCTGAATACAAGAATCATAGGGACTGACCTGCGCATTAAGAATGTGTCAGCAGATAATTGATTTTTTTTGGACTTTAAATTCCTTTAGCCATTTCTCTTTTTAATTTTGACAGTTTATTTATCTGTTGTTTTGACGATGTTTTGAAGCTTAAAGTTTTATTTGATGTTTATCGTGCATTTATTTTAAATATTTCTCAATTTTTGAACTCTGATGAGTTTTGGACAGTGATATCGAGTCTTTGTTGGCAAAACCAAGCCAGCAAAAATGATTTGAACGAATGATTCAAACGTACAAATATAAATAAATCTTCCCCCAATCTATTAATCTTAGAGTGTATAGTTCAAGCACGTAAGTCGGTTAGGAAACGGATATAGAAAAAACGGCGTCCAGTTGTCTTGGAAGTGATGATCAATGTCATTCTCCATATAATTTTACATATAAAAAATGACAGAGCAATCGCTTACGCTGTTTTTTTTTTCGATTATACGGTATATTACTCATTTTGAATCCCTTAGATAATAAAAATCGTATAAAAAAAATCTACCTAAAACTCTTAGATCTAACCAATAACAATAACAAAAAGTAAGGTTATGAATTGGATTCCAGCGTTAAAGACGTCACAGCGACCAGGGCGAATTCTAAAATCGATTCCCAAACCGTTCCAACTGCATTTAATTTTGGTATCGTAACAGAACTGTCCAAGTCGACACATGCGCACATATTCGATCCCGGCGATACCAATAACCGTTCTAGAACGGTCCTAATTTCTGCGTTGGAACAAAGCTATTATCATCCTCTCCGTAGCATTGAACTAAGTAAATTTTGTGCTTCTTTAATATTCTAAACCGCAAAAAATGAGATGTTAATTAACATTCTATCAACAATCTAAATAAATTCATAATTTGATTTTAGACGAAGATGGATTTTGTCCGAATTTCACAGCTTACTTGTTCGGAATTTCCAAAAACTTGTATTAAAATCCTAAATACTTAAGTCTAGTTATTGGCAAAGATTAAGTTTTATGTTAGTTTAATATTAGAACGTTTGAAATGATTACCTCATTAAACCAATTTCTATTTTATAATCATCAGTCAATTCGAAAAATCCTTGACATAGAATACTCCACTGTAAAGTAATTGCGCCGACTAGAAAGTTGAATCCTACCGAACTGTATCCATATTTTTTTAAAAAGACCATTAAGTAACCAAACCCAATGAAGATCATGACATGAACGTCCTGGAAAACTAAAGAAAAATGTGTTCAGGGGCAGTCTATAGGTAATAGGTAGTATATTAAATTTACAAGAAAGAAAACACAGAAATGATCCTGTGGTTCTGAAAATGTAAGCAAAAATATTTTTTTGTAAATTTTCAAAGTAAAATAACTGGGTTATTTTGGACTTCTTTGAAAAAACGGCAAAGAGAAAATATGTTTTTTTCTTTTATCGAGATCAATCAGCCCTGAAAATATTTGCACATATTTAAGACTCACCCTATATAGTTACTTACCGATGAAAAATTATTCTCTTATTTATCTAGTTTTTTAACCGAAATATACCGCATGCTACACAAACATTTTACGGTTTTTAAGAATGTTACTTAATTTAAGTTCTGTTACAATATCCTAAAAAGGCACTTTTCGACTGTCAGTTCAGTTTTCCGATCAGATTTAGTTCCAGTTCAGTTGTCAGTTATCGTATGTCTAAACCATAAAAAATGACAGAAAAATTGAAACTGAAATGGAGCCGTGGCTCAATGGATTTACCAAAAGTTTCTGTATCAGTTGTAAGTTAAAATGATGTGTAAACAAACCTGCCAGCTTTCGCAGAAGCATAATCAGTCATATATCTTATGGATTATTCTATAAGGAAAAAACATATCAGAATACAGAGTAAAAATTGTTCAACACGAACAAGAAATCAAAATAAGAAAAATATATTGTTATACATATACATATCTCACTAAGTTCAGTATCAGGATCATTTTTGCAATATCCGAATACTTTACTGGTCAGAATACAACTTACTCGAATATATTCTAAATATTTCTTCGAATTTTCTAGAATTGAAGCCACCAAATAATGGTTCAATGCTATTATAGATATTGGAACCATCAGCTCTTGATGTGTATGCTCCAAATGCTTTAAATAGTATCAATAAAATGCATTCCAGGAAAAAAACAAAGATAGCTAATTTACGACGCACAATTTTTTCACACACGCTATTCTTTTTCAACGGTACAGTCATTTTACTGTTTAAAATAATACAAAGTCTAATACATAGCCGTCTTGTTTTGTACCATACAGATGTGAGATTCTGGTTACCGATAAAATAAAAATTTAAATTTTAAATATCTATTTAAGCTGTCTTTCTTTAAAAACTCAGGGATAATTTGCATATACAGGGTAGCACAATATTATCTAAGAAACTCCAATTTTGCTTCCTATTTGATATTTTCAACCGTTTTACCTCAACTCAGTGATAGTGCCGATTTAAAACAAGAAAATGTCAAGAAAAATATAAAATTTTCAACATTTTTTAGTTAGGCAGTAAATTTTACGTGAAAAACTCTATTAGACTCCACCTTTTCGATAAGTTATACGATAACCAAGATATGAGAGAGTTCGAAAATACAACAATTTCAAATTTGCCCTGTATTACAGGAACTAAGTTTTATAAACGATTGCTGATAATATAATATTGCTTTATATACATAATAAAAATTAAAGCATTCGAAATTTATTTTAAGCACGAAAGTATTTTATTTCTATAAGAATTGGTAACAGTTTAAATACATTATACATTTCTGGTAGGCTTTTGCCACATGATTAATACTCTCTAATATAATATTGCTTTATATACATAATAAAAATTAAAGCATTCGAAATTTATTTTAAGCACAAAAGTATTTTATTTCTATAAGAATTGGTAACAGTTTAAATACATTATACATTTCTGGTAGGCTTTTGCCACATGATTAATACTCTCCAATAGAAAGTCAATCGAGGTGGACATCGAAAGATGGTGTTTGGCGTGATTGACGGGATAAGCCCGATCAGCCACACGTTTTTATATGATTTTTGTCGCGTTTCATTACTTTGAATAGTAGGTACAATGGTATTTATTGTGTATGACAGTTGTTAGTGACAAATAGGAGAATTGTATCGTTTAGAGGTAATGTGTTCCCAAGTAGCATCTATCTGAGTTCGAACTAAATCTGACCTGAAGCGACGTCAGACTTTGTGCAAATTTAGGTCGGGTGCTGGTGATACGACCGGTGACGTCGCTTTCCTATTAAAAGCGACGTCGTTGGATCCGAGTCGGTAAATCCAACGATCTGTCGACGTACAAAATAACAACGTACCATTTTTATTAATTTCCCAACGTCGTTCCCACGTTAGCTTGCACGACGTACATATACTAGAACTAGCCCGACGTCTACCCGTTGTCAGAATAGGATACTGATAATACTGATACTGATACACTGATAATCCCTAAAGTAAGGTCCAATTATATTTTGTTGTATTTTATGTTCATATTTATAACCTAATTTACGTATCTCTATTTACGTCCGTAAATACAACCCATTAAGTAGCATTTGCGACCTAATGAACATCATGAACATAACCTAATAAAAAGTTTTTGTAAACAAACTTAATTTTTTTATTATGCCTAAAAAAACACTAAAAAGGCATTTAGACATTCATCTACATTTTACAGAAAGAGGTCGTGGCTTGTGCAAAATAATAATAGTAGTACTGATGTCTTGCCTCCACCCATAAATGCTTTTTATCCGGAAGAGATGCTGAATTACACTGGTGCATCTTAATTTCATTTTTTAGCTTAGGAAACCAGCAGACCCCATCCTCCTCCCACATCTGAGGTTAGGCTTAAAAAAGTGGCTGCCCATTTTTTTTAAGGAGAAAACAAAAACTAAAATATAGTTGCACAAATCCACAAATCACTGATACGCAAAGTGAGGTTACGTGGCGTACGTTGGAATTATATACGTCATAATACGATTGCCGGTCGTCCGGTTTGATGACTTCGGTCGTGTGAGACGACTAATGTTGGAGACCCGGTCGGAATTGGTATATTGATAGTTCATATTAAGTCGGACACAGAAATCCGCCATTCTTAGCAAGTATCCGATTGTCAGCCATTTTACAATCGTTTTTTGTTTTTAAAATTTATATTCACATTTCGATTTCTAGTAGAATAATATTGATAAGGTTGAGTTTGGGGGGAACCACAGTACACTTTTATGATTAAACCAGCTAGAAAATAAAAAAAAAATATTTTGCGAGTTACTTTTTTATAGATATTTTTATTTCATAAATCTACCTAATTTTGAAGGCGCTCGTTGTTTTCCGGAGTATTTTAATCAGATATATCAAAAAAGTGACTTCCGTTGACAAAACTGATGTCTGGATTAATGATTCAGAATTATTATAATATGAAATTAGATAGGCACTTATAGTTATATTCGAGGAGTGATTATGAATCCATTTGTAGTTTGGTTAGGTTTTTATGTATTCTTGGTAGCGAATATGAAACCAAATGTAACGTAAGTGCTTAGCGACGAATTTTAAGTAACTAAAATCCAACGTAATATGACGTCGGTAACTTGTAGAATTACATTCCCTATTAGATCAGATACCAACGTCGAGGCGACCCGAATCTGTATTCCCCATTTAGGTGCAAATAAGGGTCGTCAGGCGGTCGAACCGACGTTGGTACCCGACGTCGGGTTTATTGAACGCGACGTATACCCGACGTTAGATAACGTCCAAATGCTACTTGGGTTGTTTTAGTTAGTTGTTTAGAATAATCAAAAATTAATATTAATTTAGTAGCAATATGGCAAAACCAAAGTTTTTCTTTAAAAGTGATGGAAATGATGCTGAGCCGAAGAACCCCACTTTTTTAAATTCAACCTAACGCGGTTTTCTCATCTATAGTGGCATTAGGAATCTAAAAAAATACTGTTTTTTGCAATTATACGATTTAGAAAACCTGAAAATCCTGTATAGTCTGTATAGAAAAATTGTCTGTTTCAGGTTAACTCCAGTTTTAAGATGGACCGAAGACTGTGACTTTTGAAGGGGAGTCTAATAAAGGCAGATCAATTCCAGGACATTACAAAAACCATTCGTCACTAGACAAAATTCACCGGGATACCCTTGTATCTATTATCTTTTATTTTGGGAGACATTCAATACAATTATTGTATTTACCTACTTATCACCAAAAGATTAATTCCGAAATAAAGTTATTTTACTAATAAATTTGATATTTATTTCATTTAAATTGTTAGTACTGATCTTATTCGATTAAAATCGACTTAAACTTTAAACAAAGTGACATATTAATAAATAATTAAGCATTGCACTTCAAAATTGTATAAAGAGAAAGGCTTGAAATAAAAGGAATGCATTTGAAAAACAAATGGAAAACATTAATAATCAAATATATATTTCTTTAAATCAAATAAGCAGCATTCTTATTCTAAATCTGATATACCACTAACAATGACAATGATCATGTATGTTTTATATGTACCAGTATATACATAAAATCAATATACAGGGTTCGGTAATAGTGCGTCGGGCATCTGTAGCTCCTAGAATAAAAAACTTGAGAATTTTGTTTAAGTGCAAACCTAAAGTATGTACGAGGATGTATTTCGGGAAAATATTTTAACTTCTATAGGGTGGCTCAAAAAAGTGTAAGTGGACCTGGATGATTTTTTTTAAATGGAACACCCTGTATATTATTGCATTTTTGGCTTCCTTTCAGATCACTTTACATAACCCTAAGATATGAATAAATATATTTCGATAGTTTCAGAGATATTAAAAAATAAATCAAAAATATATATTTTTCGGCCCTTTTTAAAAAAATTATTAAAAATACAAAAACTGTCCTGAAATCAAAACTATATTAGATATTTACATTAGATGGTCTGTTCTCACTTTGTTATAAATATGATAATCGTAAATTATACAGGATGTTCAATATTCTACGCCAAACTTACTAAAATATAAAATATTTTTTCTTTGTTTTTTTTAAATGGAACACCCTGTATATTATTTTTTTTATTAGATGAACAGTAAAAAATAAACATTTTTTGTATTTAGAGTATTTCAAAATTCTTAACGATTTCGCAAATACACGCAGTTATTATTTCATATGGCGCTTTCAATGGTAATATATGAGAGAAAAATCATTGGTTGGCTTTGATAAAAATTTACTGTGGAAAATGCTATATGAAATATAAAACCGCAAATATCTGCGAAACCGTTAAAAATTTTGAAATACTCTAAATACAAAAAATGTTCATTTTTTAATTCTCCATCTATTGAAAAAATAATATACAGGGTGTTCGATTTAAAAAAAACGAAGAAAAATTATTTTATATTTTAGTAAGTTTGGCGTAGAATTTTGAACATCCTGTATAATTTAAGATTTTTATATTTATAGCAAAGTAAGAACAGACCATCTAATGTAAATACCTAATGTAGTTTTGATTTCAGAAAAGTTCTTGTATTTTTAATAATTTTTTTAAGAAGGGCTGAAAAAAATATATTTTTGATTTATTTTTTAATATCTCTGAAACTATCGAACTATATTTATTCATATCTTAGGGTTATGTAAGGTGATCTGAAAGGATGCCAAAAATGCAATAATATACAGGTTGTTCCATTTAAAAAAATCATCCAGGTCCACTTTTTTGAGCCACCCTATAGAAGTTAAAATATTTTCCTGAAATACATCCTGGTACATACTTTAGGTTTGCACTTAAACAAAATTCTCAAGTTTTTTATTCTAGGAGCTACAGATGCCCGACGCACTATTGCCGGACCCTGTATACAGATGTCTTATTAATTCAATTAAGACTATTAATGAGGTCAAAATATGTTTGATTTTATTTGATTCGTTAGGATTTTTTTTATTTTACAACGTTTTTTCTCTCAGTGTAGTAACTTTTCTTTCATAAAAAAGCATCTGCAAACAGCATATATTTGTACTTCTACTCATAAACGATAGATACCGTGTAAAACACACGAAAAAGGGATACACTATAGGGTGGCGCCTCTTATACGACGTGGAGGCTACAAGGAGAACGACAGTTTGTATTGAAATGAAATTTTGTGAGCATATGTAGGTTAATTCAGAGCACTTTTTAAAAATATAGAGAGTTCTAGTAGGTGTCTCCAAAAAAAGTTACATATTAAAGTTGTGTT